AGTGCTGTTTGACGCGTTCCGACTATGCTTGCTAAAACACTTCTTTGCAGCATCAACCAGTGAGATGGCCTCGGTTAACAAGCTGTTTGCATCCGAGCAGCACTGTTGACAAAGCCACACACAACCCTTCTTACTGAACCGTTTGAAAGCAGCAGGCGTTAAGTTCGTGCAAACTTCGTGGTACCAGCCTTTGCACTCGTCGCACTGCATGCCGCTTTCAACAGGATAACGACAACCCGGACGTTGGCAACTGCTTTTTTTACACTGTCCGGTCATTTAGGAGGGATTCTTTTTCAAATGCGATGATACTCAGAAACAAAAAATTATCAATGACCAAAAAGTGAAGAGCTGTAGATTGCTAGGACCAAAAGTACTAACAGATACAGTTGAAAAAGAGGTACTAAAGAGTACCAACGACAAAAACAGTAAAAACGATACTTTAGTCAAATACTTTAACTGAAATAAATTCAATTAAAGTGAAAACAGTAGTCTTGATACGTAATAAACGATCAAAACAATGAAATTTACTCAGCGAGGAAAAATACCACTGTCCTTTTTAAATAGCGCGCTCGTTCGAAAACAAGATCCAGATGCTTGAGATGTGATTCTCTGTCCGGACTTGCGATTAGGCAGTCATCAACATACGCATGTACGAAGTTGAGACCTCGAAAAACGTCGTCTATGAATCTTTGGAAAGTTTGAGCAGCGTTCCTTAGACCGAAAGGCATTCGCAAAAATTCATAGAGTCCGAGAGGAGTTATGATAGCTGTTTTCGGTATGTCGTCAGTAGCCATAGGAATTTGGTTATACGCTTTAACCAAGTCGGTTTTCGAAAAGACAGTTGTACCTTTCAAGGTAGCTGTAAAATCGTGAATATGAGGCAACGGGTAACGATCGGGAATGGTTTTCGCATTCAATCACCGATAGTCGCCAGTTGGACGCCAATCGTTGCTGTCCTTTTTAGGGACCATGTGCAACGGAGATGCATATGGGCTACTTGACAGTCGTATGATTCCCAAGTCTATCATATGGTCGAACTCGTTTTTCGCCAACCTTGGCTTTTCAGGAGCTAGTCGTCGTGCTTTAGAGAATACGGGTGGTCCTGTAGTCGTGATGTGTCACGTTGCTGGTTACACTCGGTAGTTTCGGTTGAGTTTGTTGTATCCCAGGGTACTTGTCGAGAAGTGGCTGATAAAGTGGGTCTATCCTATGCTTAATTGTGACTGGGCATAATCTACAACCGGAAGAAGAAGTTACGCAAACGGATAAATCAGTGTTTCCGTCTACTAGCCTCCGTTTGCGCATGTCGATGATCAGATTATGGTGTTGTAGAAGATCTATACCAATGATTGGCACAGATACATCTGAAACAACGAAAATCCAGTGGATGGGTTTGCGTAAACCCACGTTAAGGTAGACGTACCTTTTGCCATATGTAGCGATCGGTTTTCCGTTTGCCGCCTGTAAGTTTAGAGCCGATTCGTTAAGCCGGTCGTTAGGATTTGCTGGGAGAACGCTAACTTCTGCGCCAGTGTCGACGAGGTAGCGAACTCTCGTTGTCACATCTGTGACGTATAACAGACGGCTAGGTTCGCCGGCTACGGTTGCCGTTAACGCGTGCCGGCTTGGAAGTTTCCCGAATTGTTTTTCGAGTCAGTCGTTTTCGTGTTGGGAAAATTGCAGGGTTTTCTGCAATTTCTGGAAAACTTTCCATACTGGTTATGATACCAGCACCAGTCGGGATTATCCGTCTCTCGTGGTCTAGAGACAGATCGCTTACGTGAAATGCTTCTACGTGGGCTGTGTGAGCGATTAAGGTCGTTACGAAGATTAAGATAATGCGTGAGTGTATGACATAACTCGGTTATGTCATTCTGAGTCGTGTGAGGCTTTTCTTTGACTGAAAATACCTCTGTAGTAGACGATTTCGTTATTTCTAAAATACGATCGGCAGATGCAGCTAGCTCGTCTAAGGCGTTGTTCCGAAACGAGACCAGAACTGCTTGCACCTGTTGAGGAAGTTTTGACAAGAAGAGTTGTTTGAATAGACCTTCGTCGAAAGTTCTTAGGCCTATAACCTCTCTCATCCGTTGCAACATGTCCGTCGCAGAACCGTGTTGCAGGTCGATGTTATTGAAGAGTTGATCTAACCTGTGTCGATCGGTTAGGTCTCCTCGTTTAAGAATCGAACGTTTCAAGATTTCGTAAGGTTCAGAAACATCACTAGTAAACATACTAGGTGTTACGTACCTGTTGAATTCGCGCGGTAGTGCCTTGACTACTGCGAGGAATTGTGCATGTGTGACGTTCACGCCGTGCTCGGAGAAGTCGGCTTCTGTGTAGCAAAACCAGGCTTCGATGTTGTCGGGCCAGAAAGGCATGAGTTGAAACGAAGGCGGGGACAAAGTCTTAAGCTTTAGTACTTTGGGTGTCTGTTCAGTCATGATGAAATATGAAGTACGATAATGAACGAGGGGAAAATATATATATCCAATAGAAAACACGAAAAAAAATCACAATGTTTAAAATATTAAAAAAAAAACAAGTCAATTATATATAAAAATCCCAAAAAGGAACAGACTCACAGTTGCAATTAGGTGTACCAGATCACGTCGGTCTCACCAATGATGATGTCACAGGTATTCAGTGTTTGACAACGCTTCTACCAGTAACACCTTCTAATATATTTCATTCCCACCCAGAGAAATCAAAAGACAGAGTCGAGGAGATCGGAAGAGTGTATTTGGCGATTACCAATATATCGGAATCCTCTGGTCTAATCTGGCTAGCGATTGCGGTTGATGTTGAGCACGGCGTTACCACACGTGATCTGGTGCGGATGCCTGACCGAGCGCCTTCAGCTAGATGAGTCCACTAAAACATATGGTCAGCATCCAATGTCGAAAACTTACGGGGCTATTTATTTTTGGGGTTTATTTACCGCTACACTGTTATTGAAGTGTGTTTGGATGTTGTCTCATCATTGAAGATTTCAATGTGCCGCATATCAACTGGATGGGGCTTTCAGCTTCGAGTGAGGGTTTCGATAGATACCTTCTGTCAACGATTATTCGGTGTGTACTTGTAAAATGTATCACAAAACCGACACATACTGACTCGGAATATGAGCCGTCATTAGTGGATCTTGGTCTTAAGTATCACTATTACGAAGTCATCGACATTCAGCACCTTCCCCCACTAGAAAATAGTGATCATGGTGTTTTGTACTTTAGGTTTCGGAAACGCTGCATACAGTATGTATCTGCTCCGTCCCGTTCCAATAGCTGAGGGGCAGACTTTCCTGCAATCACGGGTTGTGTTAACCCAAAAAATTGGTCAGTCAATCCAGATGAATCGATCGAAGACGAATGGGATAAGTTTAAAGTAACATTTCAGTCCGTAATATTACTATCCATCTCATGGTTAACAGACAGGCTATCTCATTGCTATTCAAGGATAGACAAGTAGACACAAAAGCTGTGGAAGCTCAGGAAAAACTTCCGAGACCTATTCTTGCAAACGGAACACGAACCATTTAAATGTGAAAACCAAAAAATCCGGAATATATGTAAACAGAACATAACTAGATGCCATAACATTTACAAAAGCAGTTGATGTATGATAGCCGTATCTGCTCAAAACGATCGTTTCCGTACATTAAACCGAGAACAAAGGGTAGTGACGGCATTGCTCTATTACAGTCGCACAAAAATTCTGATATACTAGCGGAATCAAATCTGGCAAAAGCTGCGACTTTATCAGACCATTTCTATGAAGGCTACTCTACGGGTATTTTTAGCAATAATCGTCATGATCACACTAATAAGATACCAGTTGTAGGACTTGTATGTGTGACTGAGGAAACTGTTCTTCAACTGATCATCAACCTCAAACTCAGTATGTGCCGTGTTTTGATGGGTTGTAGTAGTATTGGTTCATAACCACACGGTCTTCGAAGCTGGACACTTAATTGCTGAGAAGATTCACTTAGCTATCCTGCTACCGATGTTATTGCTGGGAAAATTGTTTAATGACAGTGGTCTTGAGACATGGACGGTGTTAGACGTACTGTCTACAAATAAACACCAAACGTACTTAAAGCTATCTTATAATATATGACAGCAACAGTACCAACGGCACATTTTTTCCTATTTTTAATCAGACTGATTTCAATCACTATACCCATTAAAAACGGGCAGTTATACTTACCAAAGTGATCCGTTTCGTTACAGGCTTTAAGCACTACACTTAAGTGTACTATAATTCTATAGACTAATCTAAATTATATGGCAACCAAGAATACTAAACTAAGCAAGTGTCATAATTATTGTTCCATTTGCACAGACATGTTGGTAAACGGAGTAAAATGAACATAATTCAGCCGAAAAAACCAAAACACGAAATATAGGCCAGTCGAACTTACCTAAGAGAAGACAAAGGATATATATATTGCTTTGAGACTGAAGACAACAGTCAGTTGTTCATTAAAAAAACATAGTTCACAGTACAACAAACCTTTCTTCAGTAAAATCATGCACTGACAGTCTATCTAGAAACAATCAACTATGTGAACAAACTCACTATGACTTGAGATATCATCCCAGCGTGCAATGGACGTACAGTGTAACGCGGTCAGACGTGACAAATAAAAATTAAAAACAGAGAAAAATTAACTACATAATCTAGTTATTTAATTAAAAATACATTATGAAATGACAAAATCTGTGATTGCTTGGACGCACAGATGACCGTTATTACACTGGGCGATACATTAAGTTTACATGGTTGCGATGCGGATAAATTCACCCGCTCAGTGACATTTCACAGGACCAGGCCAAATAACCCGGCGGCCGGGTCACTTAATGTCGAACAGTTCATCGATTCTCGTGAAGCCCAACGACACAAGCTCTATTTCTGCATCAGGACTAAAGTGCAAAAAAGTTAATTAAGATATCTCGTCACCAATACCTTGGACATTGAACGCAAAACTGTCCTAGTCACCTTCCAGTGCCTCAAGGTTAGTACATTGTCAATGTTGTGCAGGTTCTCTGCTTTAAAATGTCCATTGTAATCACAGTTTTCAGTAGTACTAATGCATTCTATTCACTGCAGCTAGATGACATTGTTATCGAACTATAGCCTTCCCAATCTCCCGAGTTTGGGAAAATCCAGGGATTTTCCTCAAAGTCGTGTGAAAGTTCGTATGTTTCCCCAAATCTGGGAAATTTTGGGTTTTTTAATGCAGTTCACCAAAATTTTCTGTTGTGACTTCCCTGAAACTGACAGAATTTTAAATACGGTCGGTAGATTGGGTCAATTTATCAACACTTTCAGTATTGGAAACATCGTCAGCAGTTACATGGAATAAAATAGTACGTTAAACATATGGCTTTGTGATATTTGATGCCACGTGTCGGTCACACGAATTGTTACGCTTACCATGAGGTTGCACTGTTTTTCGTTAAAGCGATTACAGTACTGAAACCACAATACTTGTGTAAACCTGTACGAGACAAATTGATTTATGTTAAATTTTACTAACTATAGTATACAAGGTGGTTATTATCGCAGTGGAAATTTTATGTATGGTACTTTCTAAGCGATATCATTGCTTTTAGAGTGAGTTATCTTCTGAAGAAGCTGTGTTAAGTGGTTGTCACTACACTTACTTAATTTCCGTTTAACTCTTTGAAACACATTGCCCCTGTTAGTGCTTCCGATTGCCTTTCCAAGAGTCTACTCTCAACTTAGAGACTTATGGATTTGGATTACACTAACTTTCTGTTGCTGTTAGGTGGTAGGTTTTTCTGATTATGATCGTAACGATACTGAATAAGTCCAAGTGTGAACCATAATGGAAAATATGTTTTTATGACTTTCTTGAGTCTCTTTATCTTGAAAACATTAATTAAGTGTGATCGTTCCATTTTTATGCAACTAGATGTATTGAATGTTCACGTATCAGAAGAGATATCCAATTTTTGACATTGCCACTCGGAACTCCATATAATTTAAAGAAAATATTTATCTCTACTGAAGATCAGGGATATTGAGTGACAGTCTGCCCCAACCTCGCAGATATTAGACCATTGAAACTGGGAAACAAAGATTTCATATACTCGATCACAAGTACTCTCGATGTGGTTGGTTGGCACTTACATAGGACCTGACACAAATAAATGTCGGCCAAACTTGCTGTATTACATATCAGCATAGTGTGAAATGAAATTGATGGAATAAGAATTGAATCAATTTCAACTACAGCAAAAATTTAATCATTGTAGAGACTTCGAAATAAAGGAGAATTAAGAGGTAGTAGTAACACAATTCAGGATTGAAAAAAACGATATAAGTGCAACTTCATTACTGTGAACATGGCGTATTACATTAATGTAATTTGTTTATCAACTATACATCTATGTATTTTCCTTTGAGTCATAAATCTTATCTGAACATTGCTGAAACTACTGTAATTAAAGTAAATAATTCAAACCGGCAACATAATGACAGAATGTCAAGTATCCGTGCTGTATGCAAATTACTATGTCAAGAAATTACGCCACATAAAGCTTTTAACTGAACATGTTTTGCACTTGCCGATGTATTGTTAAATTTGTAGGTAGGTGGAATTTAGAAAATGTTTATACTTAAACAGATTAAGAATTTGTATTAGTGTAGAAAGTCACCTGATGAACTGCTATAAAATGACATGCTTTCCTAAAGATGTTTTAAACTAGGTGACGTGGTTCAATATATATACAAGTGAAGCAAATAACTCCTTACTCTGAAGATTTTTATTAATTCCTTGGATTTATTTCCATTTTTTGGTAGTCGTAAACCTTTTGTTTCTATTCCCAAATAACCTGTACGTATGCACTGTTTAAAAAAATCAGTACAATCCCAAATATTTCGAATATTTCCATCTTCCGTTTAAGCTCTATTAGATATAATCTACCTTTATAATTTCTCGATTCACCAGTGAAGATAGCGTTTTTTAATTTAGACTACACCTACATCTTATGGGTTGTTAACTTCAGATAGATGTCTAGACATTAGATAATTTAAGTACACAAATGAACTAAATCCTCTGCTATTTTATTAGCCCTATAAATTTGCACTGACAAGCTAATCCGTGTTTTTTTTCACTCACGAAGTATTATCAGTCCTCTCATGGCTCGAAACCTTCAAGGTCTTCTTCGCCTTGCCGTTGAACATTCTGAAAATGCCGCCACAAAACCCATGGACCCGAAGGTAATCCTACTTTTAAGTAGCTGATTTCAAAAAATAGGATGCCGAATGGTTGGATAAAGCACTAACTGCATCAACTGTCGACTTGAGTAAACAGCTGACTAACGATGTCCAAATGTTATCATCCCATTTGTCATCGTCAGAGCCCGATTTAAATGAAACGAAGAATATCATTGAAGATTTGTTAACACTGACTGAAGATTTGGACTTGTCGAACGACTTTTTGATTGTTGGAGGTCAAGATGTACTACTCAAACTATTATTTTGCGGCCCACCTTCCTTAAGAATAGATGGATTGAAACTATTAGCGAATATCACTCAAAACAATCCTCGAGCTCAAAGTTTGTACACTGAAAACGGCGTACTGGCTCGACTAATTATGCTATTTGAAGAAGAGACAGACCTGGAATTTCTGAGACATCTGTTACTAGCCATATCCTGTGAGTATTTTTCACCAATCAATCTATTTTAATGTTTGTTTGGCTGATAAAAGTTTGAACTAACCAAAGCTCCTATATTTAATATGCCCCCAAATGCCCTGTTAGGCCAAGAGCGGGGTGGGTTCGCCTCCCTCTCGAAATACTCTCACACGGCCACGCGTATACAGCATTTGCCAGGGAAGTCCTACTCACTGCCTTCTCGTGAAGGGGGTGTTGTTTACGAAAATGAGAGAACGAAAAGCGAATGTCCGGCGCTTTAACCGGATTCCAAATCAGTGGTGTACATGGGCTCTAGTATCCTGCAAGAACAAATGGCGTATGAACCAATCGTCGTTCACCGGCTGCCATGGGACCGCATCTCCTCACGATGCCCCACTCCCTTATGGATCAGACCTTTAGGTTAAAGGCTCGGGGTGTGGCCCCCTAAGAAAACCGCCTGTTTCGGTCTGGGCACCCAGGCAGTATCACAGCTTACACACACAAATATGGTGTGGCGCATATATATTTGGTACCCTTTTGTACCAATATTTATGTGTTGAAATAAAATAAAATAATCTACCACGTCAGGTCGGTCAAGAAGGTCTTGCTTGATACTCAAGGATATCTGCGTTTTCGTTCTACGTGTGTTTTACATTTCAATCACTAATGAATATCCAGTTTGAGAATTCTCTACTGTATAGGGCTTGTATCCCTCAAAATAAGCTACGAATACCGTGATTTAGAGCTTTGCTGTGAAATAAATAATTGTCATATGTTTGTTCACCAGTCTAGACTTTGCTGATCATAATTAAGTCCATATTTTCCTTTTACGTGGTCTTGCGAAACGTTCTCTGCTATCACTAATTTCCGGCGTTTGATAAGTTTGTATTTATGGAAAATACGTATTTATGTATAAATTATGATTAAACGTTTTGGAATAGAGAACTGAAGGGAGATTTCCTCGACTATAAGTAGTTTAATTAATATTTATTTATTTATTTGAACACATAAATATTGGTACAAGAGAGCGCCAATATATATGCGCCACACAAAACAATGGGAATTCGAAGAGAAGTAGAAAGAGAAAAAAAAACTAAGGAACGCAAAAGAAAAAGAGAGTAATGACGAAGAGGTACAATCAGAAGAAATCTTTCAGGTAAGGAGACACAACCACTTTTTATGAAGAAAGTAAAAGAAGGTTACAGCAGGATCGCCACTGGCTTCTATTCTGAGCCATATCTGATAACGTCTCTAGCCACTGTGTAGCACCATCTCTCGGACCCCAACCAGGGAGTCGTGAAGGACCAACACAAGCCAGTCCTTTGCAGCTTTCTTTCATGCCACGACACCATGTCATGCACTGACCACCTCTCCGCTTCTTCCAACCAGTCCCAGAGTCGGCAAATAATGCACGACGTGGAATTCTCTGGGACGACATTCGGAGAACATGTCCAAGCCACCGAAGTCGGTGTTTCAAGATGGTGACACCAATTGAGTTATCATCTCTGTGCCCGAACACACGATGCCGAACCTCTGCATTACTGACATGGTGTTGCCACTGAATGTCAGCAATCCTTCGGAGACAGCGATGATCGAACACAGAGAGTCGTCTAACGTCCTCAACTCGGAGAGGCCAGGTTTCACAAGCATAGAGCAAAACTGCTCTCACCGACGCGTTGTAGATCCGACCTTTTACAGCCAGACTAACATCACGAAGGCGCCAAAGGTGGCCCAGATTGGCATAAGCCGCTCTGGCTTTCACTATTCGTGCATTGATCTCATCACTCACCCCCCCACCAGCACTTATGCAGCTACCCAGATACACGAACTTCTCAACTACGTCTATCTGCTCACCGTCCAGGGTGAGTACAGGATTAGAATCCTGCCAGTCTTGTAGAAGTACTTTGCACTTCGAAGGTGCAAAGCACATACCATACCTACGGACACTGATTGCCAACTGATTAAGTGCGGATTGCATGCCTTGGGCATTATCGCACAGTAAGACAATATCGTCCGCATACTCAAGGTCGAGAAGTCTTTCTCCAGGCAACAGATCCACACCACCATTACTTACATTCATCAGAGCTGTTTCCAGAATGTCATCGATGGCAAAGTTGAAGAGGAATGGTGAGATTGGGCAACCCTGCCTAACCCCACTGCTCGAATGGAACAATGGAGAGAGGTGGTTGTATGCCCTCACTCTGCCTGAGGTGTTTTTATACAGGGCTTTTAGGATGTTAATAAACTTCTCAGGCACACCCTTCTTCAATAGACAATCCCAGAGAACAGTCCTATCCAACGAATCGAAGGCAGCCCTGATGTCAAGAAACACTACGATTGTTGGCCTTTGAAAAGTATGGCGGTGTTCTAACATTTGGCGGAGGGTGAAGATATGATCAATACATCCTCGACCAGAACGAAACCCAGCCTGCTCCTCGCGAGTCAATCTTTCTCGGGTTTTGAACAACCTACGAAGAATGACGGAAGCCAATAGCTTGGACGCAATCGGAAGTAAACTTATCCCCCGATAGTTGTTACAAGAACGACGTGAACCCTTTTTAAAGATAGGGACAACTATCGACTCATTCCATGACGTTGGTACACTCTCTAGTTCCCAAACCTTTGTAAACAACGTCGTCAATTCCTTAGTCAAAAAGTCACCACCATCTTTAAAAAGAGCCGGAGGTAAGTCATCTGGGCCAGGTGATTTGTAACGCTTCAAGAGTTGGAGTTCCTTGCGGACTTCCTCCTCATTTGGTGGATCAGTCGTCACCGGCCATGGAGGGCAGGACAGTCTGACCGATGTTGCCGGAGCAGCAGGCCAGTTGAACTGCCCTTCGAAAAATTCTGCCCATCGTCCAAGACGTCGATGGATGTTAGTGATTGGCATCCCATCATCCTCGCAGATTGTTTCACTCACACCAGACTTCTTGCTGCCAGTGGCTCGGATGAGTTGGAAGAGCTTCCGGTAGTTACCAGATGCAGCTGCTGCTTCCAGCTCATTAGCACGCATCGACCACCAGGCTTCTCGGTCCTTACGCAAGCTTTGCCCAATTTCCTTACGTAACATCCTTCGTTTATGGTCAAACTCACGGTCACCCGGAGTAGACCGACGGGCTTCAATGAGTTGTAAGGAACCAGAAGAAACCCAGTGCTTAAAAGCGGGACGTTTCGCAAACCCACAACTGACTGTTCCCGCCATTTTCATGGCGTCATGCAATTGCAACCAATGCTCATCTATACTTTTCGGTGGAGTGGTAGCTAGCCTAGAGGCTAGCTCGGTTCGATACTTACTTGCAACAGAAGTTGCAACCAGCTTGCTAACATCAATCCGTTGATGGCGTTCACTTCGTTGTCCACTGAAAAGTAAGGCAAGATTGGCGCAGACCAAGGCATGGTCAGAGTCCAGATAGGTACTCCAAAAGGAGCGGCAGTCTTGTACACAACCACGCCAGCGGTAGCTGATCGCGATGTGATCAATCTGAGTCCAGGCTTGAGATGCAGAGGGAGGACGCCAGGTGGCACATCGGCGATGACTGTGCCGAAAGTTAGTGCTAGCCAGAAACAGGTTGTGGTCTGTGCAAAGTTGCAGTAGACGGTCCCCGTTATCTGACCTGCGACCAACGAGTCCCCATCGGCCACCTAAACGACTCTCTTCTGTGCCTAGACGCCCGACCTGAGCATTCAAGTCTCCGGCTAGTACTACAATATCTGTCGAACGCACTTTCTGGAGAAGAACTGATAACTGGTGGTAAAACTCATCCTTGATTGCATCCGGGCTGCAATCTGTCGGGGCATAGGCGGAGATGACGAAAAGACATCGTTTCTCACGCCGATTTCTTCTCACTTTGATGGAACTTTCTAATCTAACAGCACATAACCGACTGTTAATGGGGATCCAATCGACTAGTGCTGCCTCAGCTCTAGCGCTTAGTGCGACACCAACGCCAGCAAGACCAGACGAAGATGCCACAGGGTCCCCGGATAAGCGCACGTAAAACAAGCTTTTCGAAGCGACAGATGGAGATCGAATTTGTAGTACTTCGCCAGAGTCTTGAATACGGGTCTCGGATAGACAACACACGTCGATATTAAGACTTTCCAAAGACATAGCCAGCCCTATCTGTTGTCCGACCTGCATAAATGTGCGAACGTTGAAGGCAGCCAGTTTGAATGGTGCACGTGGTTTCAGAAAATCTGCTTCAGTCCTCGTATTCGGTGGTAACATACAATTTTCAACCGGACAGTGACTCGAGAACGTTTAGATACAGTCGGAATTCCACCAAAGACGAGCCGCTGTATAAGTATAAAAGAGGGTGAATAATGTGGAAAATAATAATAATAATGATAATAATAACAATAATGACAATAATAGTAGTAATAATAATATTAGTATTAATAATGACAATAATTGTAATGATAATAATCTGAATCAATTGTTTGTTTTTCAAAGCGACAAAAGTAATTTCCATAGACATAAAGAGTTCATCATTTGTGTGTGGGCTGTGATACTGCCCGGGTGCCCAAACCGAAGCAGGTAGTTTAATTAATAAAATAAAAACGTAATTGGAATCGTCAATTTTAAGAGTTCTCCATCAAATCAGGATCTATAATGTTAAGATTTATAATCGAGAAAAAGGAACAATTATTTAACTGCTCCTTTCATATATCACAGTTCTCGAGTGCTTTTTACTTTAATACATCGATAATGAAATTTTTATTTATTGAGATCATGAACCGATCAATGCTAGTCTACCATTAAAAACCTAGAGGGACTGGATGGCCGTTCATCCTTGTATGGGACTCTCCAAGAGTGCATATTCGCGATCCCATATGAGGGACTCGGACTCAGGGTCTCTGGTATCGAGCGAACACCTAACCTCTCGACTGTTGAGCTGGCATCGAGACGTGTGAGGTATTTACCTACTGAAGATAATAAAAGATGACCGCACAGTGTCGTGAATTGGTTGAAGTTAAGCATTAACACCGTTAAATTCCGGCCCAGTGGTCTATAGGTCAAGTTTTCGCGCAAGACCTAAGGTCCTGGGTTTGAGTCGCGCACGCGGAATCTTGGATATGCACTACTGATTTTCATACTAGAACGAAACTGCCGTCCAGTTCTTCCAGGTTTTCAGTGATGGTTTAGCATTGATCGGTTCATGAATTTAACAAAGATAGCAATCTCCACAGCCCTATACTAATAATAAGATGCTTACTAAGGAGATTTTTGGTATTATTATGAGACTAGTGAACTATCCGTCCTAACTAACACCAACCTTTTTCTATCGAGAAGTTAGACTTTTAAGATATTAGAGAATATTACAGGGAATTCCATTTTTACACCAGTTACCGAGTACTGTGTGAATGAAGTAATGTGCAGGTATATGCACTCTAAATAGGATGGTTATTTGTGAAAGCCACCGTGTTCTTAATAGAAATCGACCGTTTTACTACTTTCAGCGCGTACGACACAAGGATCTAATCGTATATATCTGTCCGTTCATACAGTTCGTTCCAGACAGTTAATACATCGTAATTTGCGTTGGCTGCCTTCGATTCGTTGGACAGGACTATTCTTTGGGATTTATTTTGAAGAAGGGTGTGCCTGAGAAGTTTATTAACATCCTGAAAGCCCTATATAAAAACACCTCAGGTAGAGTGAGGGCATACAACCACTTCTCTCCATTGTTCCATTCGAGCAGTGAGGTTAGGCAGGGTTGCTCAATATCACCATTCCTCTTCAACTTTGCCATCGATGACATTCTGGAAACAGCTCTGATGGATGTAAGTAATGGCGGTGTGGATCTGTTGCCTGGAGAAAGACTTCTCGACCTTGAGTATGCGGACGATATTGTCTTACTGTGCGATAATGCCCAAGCCATGCAATCCGCACTTAATCAGTTGGCAATCAGTGTCCGTAGGTATGGTATGTGCTTTGCACCTTCGAAGTGCAAAGTACTTCTGCAAGACTGGCAGGATTCTAATCCTGTACTCACCCTGGATGGTGAGCAGATAGAAGTAGTCGAGAAGTTCGTGTATCTGGGTAGCTGCATAAGTGCTGGTGGTGGCGTGATTGATGAGATCAATGCAGGTATAGTGAAAGCCAGAGCGGCTAATGCCAATCTGGGCCATCTTTGGCGCCTTCGTGATGTTAGTCTGGCTGTAAAAGGTCGGATTTACAACGCGCCGGTGAGAGCAGTTTTGCTCTATGCTTGTGAAACTTAGCCTCTCCGAGTTGAGGACGTTAGACGACTCTCTGTGTTCGATCATCGCTGTCTCAGTAGGATTGCTGACATCAAGTGGCAACACCATGTTAGTAATGCAGAGGTTCGGCATCGTGTGTTCGGGCACAGAGACGATAATGCAATTTGTGTCACCATCTTGAAACACCGACTTTGGTGGCTTGGACATGTTCTACGAATGTCGTCCCAGAGAATTCCACGTCGTGCATTATTTGCCGGCTCTGGGACTGGTTGGAGAAAGCGGGGAGGTGGTCAGTACATGACATGGTGTCGTGGCATGAAAGGAAGCTGCAAAGGACTGGCTTGTGTCGGTCCTTCACGACTCCCTGGTTGGGGTCCGAGAGATGGTGCTACACAGTGGCTAGCGACGTTATCAGATATGGCTCAGAATAGAAGCCAGTGGCGATCCTGCTGTAACCTTCTTTTACTTTCTTCATAAAAAGTGGTTGTTTCTTCCTTAAGTGAAAAAATTCTTCTGGTTGTACTTTTCCGTTCCCCCATTATGACTATGATTATTACTACACTCCCTTACACCAATCTCTTCATATTGTTTTTTTTAGTTCCTCATTTTTTTCTCCTTAAATTCTCATTGTTTTGTGTGGCGCATATATATTTGGCGCACTCCTGTACCAATATATGTGTTCAAATAAAAATAAATATTTAATATACATAACATAACAAACAGCAAGTGAGTCGTACGATTTTTGGTATAAATCATACAGATAGCGAAGATAAATATACTTGAGTATTAATATCGGCACTAACAGGCTGGAATTGTATAATCTGCCTTCATTATTTACTATACTGAACTTTTTAAGTCTTATTTGATAACTAACAATCTTTAGTGGTACATTTACTCCTACTGAAACTTGAGATGAACCTGTGGTTAAGTATGGAAGTTGAAGGCTAGATGATCTCGTGTTTACTATCCAAGTGATTAACAAACTCAACGACAGTGGATTTGTTTCAATATGTGACCAATAAATAGGCAGTACTAATATTTTTTGAGGTGATGAATGTTGTTTGAAAACTCAATCAGAAGTTAGAAGTTTAACGTGCTAAATAGTTTTTTAGTGGTTCCCGAATTGAGTCCACTATCTCACATACAGCTTGTGATGTTTTCGTATACTTTTATCTTGGACATTCATACTCAGTTTTTGATTTATCACACACAGGTACCATACGAGGTTATGTGCCAGGAATTAATGTATTTGTGGAATCAAAGGGTGTTGATCTTGTCCTCAGTGTACTTATCAGAGAAGTGAAAATAGGAAAATCAGATAAAGCATATCGCTTAGTTTCCAAAGGTGCGTTCCTAGTCTACTGTGTTCTGCAGGAACTTGCTTCAAAACATATATGTGAGTACTTTGTTTTATATTTCGCATGCAATCCGTTAGTGTTTTTTGAAAAAATTTGGACGTTAGACGTTTGTATTTTGTTGGCAGAGAGCCGGAACCAAACTATCCTATTTCCTCTGTATACCGTTACTAAAGATTATATATATATATATGCATAGGTGGACCCTCTGTATTTAACAATTCGGGTTAAGTTCCGGATGTTTGTTTTTCCCGCATCACTTTCATTAAAACTCCGTAAATATGTCTGAGTGAAATTATAAACACGGATCTAAAAAATCTCTTGATGAGGACTATCTTTATTGCGAGTCTCACCAAATGCCACTGGAATTGTACTAGTACCAAAAATCAGAAAATATACCATAAGTGTAGCTCACTTCATTAATTTAGAAAGGGTAGAAACAACGATTTCTGCTAAACCATATGGATTCGCTGTGAAAACCCACCCAACAAAAATTGATGGAGTATTAATGTCTGGTCACAACTTCGTGCTTCAGTTTGGTCACCCGGGCAGTATCACAGCCCTCACACAAACAAATGATAACTACCGCTGGCTTCACTGTTATTGTATAGCGCATGTGTTTGGTTCGCCGTTGTACCAACGTTTATGTGTTCAAATAATAATAATAATAGCCAGTCATGAGTAACATATAACCTACTGCAAGTTCCATCGTCTCAAGTCAAATTTCGTGTCCATGCAGTAAGGAGAAACGAACCGCTAAAATCCGAGAGGCAAAATAATTATAGTAAAAATAGTCAATCAAAGATTATGGTCTCAACGGAATAAATGGGATCGAGGAGTAAGATATTCAAAAGGATACTTAAACCTAAAATTTTAAAAATAAACATTTGTGCAGTTGATACTGATTTCAAGGCATGTCTTCATAATTTCTGTTAGATTTCGACGTGTACTCTTGGTTCTATCACGTTTTATTAGTCAGCTCAATTAATTGGTTGTGATTTTAAGCGGACGGGACACTGCAGGATTCCTAGTCAGATGTTTGTTAGTTTGGTATGCTTTATTGTTCATTTCCCTGTATAGGCTTAATTGCACTATAAATGTCTTGAGTGACCCATTTCATTTAGGCTGATAGGGGCCATTAAGATTTGTAATGTTCCTCGTTCTCTCAAGTCTTTGACCGGTGCACTCAACTGAACCAAAAACGTAAATAATACAAACATAAATGTCCGCAAGACAAATATCAGAAAAGGCGTACAGATACAATAACACTAGGATTGCGAAGAAAGCATATTATTATTATCATTATTATTATCAGCTTTATTCAATATTATATTTATGGTACAATATAGAATTCTCAGCGTAGAGTATTCTAAAGTCCTCAGGTTCTAAATGATCACAGAGAAGAATCGGCATGCTCCATTTGCCACCCAAGCCGATTCCTTACGCATCAATTCTTTTAATAAAATCTACGTTTAGATAAATTAGCTACTTCTATTCTTCTTATCATATTTCAGTAGTATTTGCATTTTCCAGTTTCTATTCAGATATTTTTCTTTTTGTTGCACTTATCAAAGAAATACATTCATGTTTCAGCATCTGAATCTTCGTCCGTCGTACACAAAGTGATAGATCTATTATATCTCCTAGACGATCCACAGGAGCACCTACTGGCTGCTTTATCACTTCTCCTCCGTCCATTAAATAGTCACTCAAGTTATACTACAAATATACAGTCCGAAGAATCGTACAAATCATTTCCTAATTGGCTACAACGGCACTTAAACGAGCTTCGCAAAATGAATGACCCAGCTGATGAAGAACGTCGCGACTATATAGATTGTTTGCTAAAGGTTTTATCTTGAACAAAATTTGTTTCTACATCGTTAGGATTTCCTAACAATGTAACTGTGGCAGGATTATAAATTTCTTTGTTAAATACTTACAACCTTTATTGATGGTACAAATAGTCTGGTTGGTTTTGCGTCATTTGTTAAAGAGTTATCCGAAACGAGTATGAGCAGTGTCGCCTGCCCACTACTTGACTGCTGAATTACTAGGCCATTTAGGATATATATACAATGCAACAAGAAACTGCTATAAAATATTTTTCGCATCACTCTCGCTACCAAATTGGATTTAAGTTCTATAGCCTCGATATAACAACAGATTCTATTAGTTAATGGCTGCTAACCCTGGAACATTGTTAATGTACGTCCATAACCAAAGGTTTCTGGTTGACTTTGATTTAATAAAGCAACATATACACGTTACTAAAAGCCATCCGTTTCATCACTTTACCTCAGTTTTCGAAACTTTTCTGTTTGTATTTGCAAGTACTTTCTTAGATAAGCAACAGCTTTGTCGATAGCTGTCCAATTACTTTACTACATAATAAGTGCCATGACCATTGTTATTAGAAGTTTCTCCTAAGGTCCCAAATAAGGAGCTATGAACCATTTACTCCTATAATCGTGAAGCTACTAAGTTGGGGCTAAATTATACCTATATAGGCGCGCTATTTAAAAAGGACAGTGGTATTTTTCCTCGCTGAGTAAATTTCATTGTTTTGATCGTTTATTACGTATCAAGACTACTGTTTTCACTTTAATTGAATTTATTTCAGTTAAAGTATTCTACTAGAGTATCGTTTTTACTGTTCTATCAATTAGCTTTGTCGTTGGTACTCTTGAGTACCTCTTTTTCAACTGTATCTGTTAGTACTTTTGGTCCTAGCAATCTACAGCTCTTCACTTTTTGGTCATTGATAATTTTTTGTTTCTGAGTATCATCGCATTTTGAAAAAGAACCCCTCCTAAATGACCGGACAGTGTAAAAAAAGCAGTTGCCATCGTCCGGGTTGTCGTTATCCTGTTGAAAGCGGCATGCAGTGCGACGAGTGCAAAGGCTGGTACCACGAAGTTTGCACGAACTTAACGCCTGCTGCTTTCAAACGGTTCAGTAAGAAGGGTTGTGTGTGGCTTTGTCAACAGTGCTGCTCGGATGCAAACAGCTTGTTAACCGAGGCCATCTCACTGGTTGATGCTGCAAAGAAGTGTTTTAGCAAGCATAGTCGGAACGCGTCAAACAGCACTCGATCTGTTGACACGCAAATCAACGTGAAGGAAACTAAGGTTAGTCCGAAGATAGATGACTCACGCCCGTCAAAGAAGGAAAAGCAGTCTCCAAAGGGGCCTGCCTTAAACAAAAGCTCAAGAAAAGTAGGGTCTTCTGTTCCCCGTCTCCCAGATGGGATCCAACAGGAAACACCTAGAAGCCGCAATCGCAAGGCTCGATCGGTTTCAAGCGGTAAACATAACCCGACCTCTCAGGTCGTCGACAACCCCCCAAAATCCAACACTAGGTTTGACGCAACTGTTATTGCTTCTACCAGCACCGTTGACGAATGGGTACAGGTTGTAAGGAAGAAAAGTAGGGATATAAAAGGGAACCCTGCCCCCGTAAAAGTGGTTGAAAAATCGAAAGCTGATCATAGCGACAGATCAGCTATTTTTCATAGAATCAAGGAGAGCGAGAGCTCTGAACCTAAAGCTCGTTTTGAGCATGACATTGTACTGATTAGGCAGCTGCTTAATCAACTCATGCCTCAAAATATGACCGGGGTCACCTTGCTAAAGGTGTACAGACTAGGGAGTCTAACGGACTCGAAACCAAATCATTCCAGACTGCTTAAAGTAGTATTCGGCTCTTCAAACGAACGTGACCTAATTTTACAAAATGGACACAAATTAAAGGGTTCAGGAGTCTTTATCCGAAAGGACCTACCGTTGGCAGACCGTGTTAAAAGACGGGAAGCCGAGAAAGAACTACAACATAGGTTAGACGCTGGCGAAAAGGACCTGAAAATTGTAAATTTTCGGGTTGTAAGACTTCGACAGAGAATGATGCCGAAGCCACTCTGGGTGAAGCACGAAGGCACTTAAACAGGCTTCGGATCTGTTACACCAATGCACGAAGCTTACTTAATAAGCGATCGGAACTAGGTGTACAGATTGACTCTATAAAGCCAGATATAATCGCAGTAACAGAAACCTGGCTGACACAGGCTATAGATAGTATAGAACTTGATTTCGAGGGCTTTACGTTAGTAAGGGCCGACAGAACACAAAAGCGCAAAGGAGGGGGAGTAGCTCTATTCATTAGGAATGCTATCCCATTTGCCATTATCGATAGTGTATCCCATGAGAGTGGGACGTGTGAATTAGTTAGTCTTCGCTTAAAATGCAAGGGACAAGAGCTGCTGATTGGTTTGGTCTATCGCAGTCCAAGCTGTGAGGCAAATGAGATCCTGTTAAGCAGTCTCAATACTTGGTCCCAAAGTGGTCGATGTCTAATCCTAGGGGACTTTAATGCACCTATGGTAGACTGGGAAAATCTGCGAACTGAATCGTCAGAAAATTCCTTCGAGCAGGAACTAGTTGATGCGGTTATCACATGTGCCTAGCAGTGCATGTGAAAGAAGCGACAAGGTACGATCCGGACACTGAATCATCCTTATTAGATCTTATACTGACTCACTATGAGGATGATGTTGCGAACCTCCATCATATGCCACCCTAGGTAAAAGTGACCACGCAGTTTTAACTTTCGACTTCCATATAACTGCCAGTCATGAGGACGCGTCAGTCCAGTCCAGACCCAACGTCTGGAAAGCAAACATACCAGACATCATGCACTCAGCATCGTTAATAGATTGGACAATAGACCCAGAGTCCTCCATTGAAACGGCCTGGGACGCATTTCGAAAATCATACTTAAAAGTTACCACACCTCACATCCCTTGGACTATACCAAAGGGGCCGAAAAACTCACCACCATGGTTCAGTAGGGAGGTCCGTATCCTTCTCCGTAAGAAAAGGAAAATGTGGGATAGATTTAGGTTACTGGGGACTGATGAGTCAAAATCTCAGTATCGAAAGGCTCGGAACACTTGTGCCTCGACCCTCCGTAAGTCTAGAAAATTGTACGAAGAAAAATTGTTAAGGAATCCATAGAATGTCCTAAACGCTTGTATTCCTATATAAACCAAAGGACAAGGAGAAAAGGAAATATTCCTGCTCTATGGGGAGACAGTACTGCTTCATCATTAGTGGAGGACGACTTTGGTAAGGCTCAAGTGTTCTCGAACTACTTTAGCAACGTATATACCATAGAAGCGCCCTTCCCGTCAGCGTATACAGATCCCCCCATACATACACTGGATAGCGTGACCATTAAAGAACTCGATGTCTTTGGTCTGCTAAATAAGCTTGACATAGGTAAATCCACGGGGCCCGATGAATTACATCCTAGGCTACTGAAGGAATTATCTAACTTCGTTGCAAGCCCTTTAAGTACATGCTTTAACCTATCCGTTACGCAGGGTCGCTTACCGAAAGATTGGAAAAACGCCATAGTAAGTCCTGTCTTCAAAACAGGTACGAAACACAAACCTGAGAACTACCGCCCCGTTAGCCTAACTAGTGTGGTTTTTGTTAAGTTAGAAAAGATTATTCGGAAGGAGCTGTTTAAGTATCTCGATAAAAACCGGATCCTCTCGGAGAAGCAGCACGGCTTCAGAATAGGTTATTCTTGTCTCACTAACTTATTAGTGGCTCGTGAAAGCTGGTGCGCTCTTAAGGACCAAAAGCTACCTGTAGACGTCGCCTTCATTGATTTCAGTAAAGCTTTTGATAAAGTTCCGCACAACCGGCTGTTATATAAGTTAAGACATATCGGGATTGGAGGTAATTTATTGATGTGGATAAAAGACTTCTTAGTTGGGCGTCAACAAAGAGTAAGGGTGAACTCAAAGTTATCTAGCTGGGAAACTGTGCTTAGCGGAGTGCCCCAGGGTACAGTTTTGGGGCCAGTGCTATTCCTCTTGTATGTAAATGACCTTCCTTGTCTCCTATCATCATCGGTCTTGCTATATGCTGACGATGTCAAGATATGGAGAACGATACGATGTAAGAGTGATAGCTTAGAACTTCAAAATGACCTGAAGAAGTTATCTGAATGGTCTCAAACATGGCAGTTGCCGATAAATACTTCCAAGTGTGTTGTGATGCATATCGGTCATCAAGGCACAGATACATACACGATGAATAACACTGAGCTACCTGTCGTCCAGACATATAATGACTTAGGAGTTATCGTTAGTCAAGACTTAAAGACTACTGCACACTGCCGTGCAATAGCCGCCAAAGGTTTTAGAACGTTATGGTCAATACGTAGGGCTTTTAGTCATGTCGACGCTAAAACGTTTTTGACTTTGTATACAGTGTTCGTTCGTCCTAAACTTGAGTACTGCATACAAGCGGCTAGCCCCTGCTTAAAAAAGACAGTGAGCTTCTGGAAAAGGTTCAGAGAACGGCGACTAAGCTGGTTCCCGGAATAGCGAAGCTTCCGTATGAATCTCGACTGGCCAAGCTGAACCTTTTCCCGTTGTCATATCGCAGAACTAGAGGCGACTTGATTACAGTCTACAAATTGCTTAGTGATAAATTTGCACCTAATATGCCCTCATTTTTCTTGTCTTCCAAAACAGAGAATTTACGAGGACACTCCAAAAAAGTTCATAAGCCGAGAACAAATTACTTGTCAGCTGACTCGACTTTCCCATCGAATCATCAACGAGTGGAATTCACTACCTCAGCACGTGGTTGAGGCTCCATCCGTCGACTCTTTCAAAAGAAAGTTGGATCAACTGAGAGACCACCATTGCCAGGACTAACATAGGCCATCGAGCCTCCTGTCCTTCCCAAACTGAAAGCAGTCGGATAAAAACCACTGCGTTAGGTATTTCTCAATAGAAATAGTCTGATATCACAATAACGATTAGACATTGCAGAAATTGGATCTGACCGCACCACTTATCCCCATCAACTTGCCTTTCTGGTTAGCATAAATTACGTCATGACTGCCTAAAACCTAATTCAGCAAGAGACAATTGTCCCTAGCACTCCAGTGGAATATTGAACGCCATTGCCTCCCAGGAAATTTCCCTGATACACCCAGCCCATTTACAGTATGCACCATCCGAAAAAACAGTAAGTAGTTTGATACTTCAATTTCATAACGACAGGCTAAAATATCGTCACAGACATTCTTGGAATCGATTTTGGAATTATCGCCACGAGACTCGTGTTAGTCAAGTAATGCTTTACTAGGACCCGAATGATAAACAATAAAGTATAACTGGCCCATGAGTACTTCATTTATACAACACTACGGGGATACTACTATACACCCCGCAGCGACAATACACACCTGTCTTAACGGAACTTTTCTTGACTCACCTGAAGAGAAGCACCATGAATAAAGTTATAACACTCAGTGAGAGAATGAGTCCGGTCCCAAGAAGTTAACTCGCAGGAATAAGATAAGATTTGAATTTTCCTTCAATACAACTGGAGAAGCTGATACCTCACAATAACCCATCCGCACTCCCTGAGTTTGCGAATGCCAATAATCTATGAAGGAAACGTAGGACTATGACGGTCTACCTATAGTGATTTTTAATTGGCTGTAATTCTCATAATCTGTTGAGCCTACGGCTATTGTCCACGAAATTGGTTGACTCCTTAGAATTGCGATACGTAGTGTTATATCAGCTTGTCGTTCTGTTTGACAAAATTACAAGGCGTTAGTTCTTAGATTGCGTGAAAATCATCAGCGCAAACAATCCTTAATACACACGTTCGCAGGAATACTAGAAATCTTTGGGTGGGAACCCATGGCCTCCAGTACAAAAATTGTTTGGGAATGTGACTTATCTCAAAGAGAATATCCAAAGGATGACAAATGAGTG